ACGTATGCCTACTCACGGCGATGATGTTTCTGTTGCCCTTGAAGATGATAGATTTCCTACGGTGGAGGAAATAATTCCTCGCATTGAAAAGACTAGATCTGACTTTTCAAAGTTACCTGAAGACGACTCTGAGGCCTCGGTATCGGTGATGAACGAGGTCGATCTCGCTGAATTTAGCTCAAAGTTCAAAATTCCGACTCACATAGATTTGGTTCCGACGAGATGCGATGTGGTACAAATACACCGCCCTGGATACTGCGCGTTCTACGCGTATCCATTCTTTGTAGGCTATTCCTTTCCTATTCTCCCATTGGCGGAGGAATTTTGCCGCTACTACGGCGTCTGCCTGGCCTAACTCTCCCCTTACACCTACAAACGTATTCGCATGTTGACGAAATATGCGGAATTGGCTGGCCGTTGGTTCTCTCTTTGTCACCTGATGCACCTCTTCGCCCCTAGCTTCTATAGAGGGACGATGTTGCATCTTCATCACTGAGGAAGCAAAGGTTTAGTAGTGAAGATGGAAGACAAAGCAAATAGTCAGTTCTGGCTCAGCTACTTCTTCGTCAAGACTAAGGACGTGTTGGCCAACGCGAGCGGATTCCTTGAGGCTTGGAATTATGCCCATAAGTAACTTTTGCCAAGAGTTTGTTTTGCCCGTTTTAAGTCATAGTCGAACGTTCCGTCTTTTTCCCCGTGCAGCCGAGATTTCGCCCCCTCCTTTGGTTGTGGAAATTCATGACTGGGTCAGCCAGGTCTTGCCTCTCACAGTGGGAATTCGTGAATGGCCGACTTTTATTAATAAATTCGGGTTTGTGCCTTCAGCGACAGGTGAGCTCGTCTTTCTGTATTCATCCACACATTGGTTATCTTTTGTCCATGCCTTTTTGACCTCATGGTCGCCTGCTCGTTACGATTTTGTGCAGGAAGTGACAGTTTTCTAACTTTTCTTTTGTGGCCCAAGGACTTCGAGAAGGCGGAAGGCTCCTGCTCCAGCGTTCCGCAAAAGGAAGGCAACTTCATCTCCTTCTGCCGCTGTGAGGTTTGCTCGGTCATCGACTACGCCTGTCGTGTGACTCTCAACTTCTCCTCCGCATCATCTAATAGACGAGGATGATGAAGATGAGTCATCGCCAAATGGTAATAATTTTCTCCCCCGTAAGAGGCAATTTGTAGATGTCGGAGAAGGAACTATCCGTGTGGGGAGCTCGGTGATGGTGGATTTCGTCATCCGAGAAACGATGACCATAGATATTGGAGATGACGCCGAGTTACCACCCATAGATATCTGAGGAGGGTACGTCTCTCCTTGAGGCTGTGGTGGATTTTGAGGGGCCGTCGGCGAGAGTCCCTGAGGCCTTACAGTAGGATGAGCCATCAGCCTCGCTACCAGCCGAGGATCCTTCTTCCCGTGTTGACACAAAGGGGAAAAGTGTGGCCGAAGAAGGTTACGAGACGGACTCCGATATGGATGCTGAGGAGGTGAGGATGATGGGGGAAGGACTCACCCGACTTGAGGTGAGATTGGAGGGGACCACGCGGACAATTGTGATCCCCTTGGACTAGGATTTGCTGGTGGATACCAAGGACATGGTCCCTTCTCTTGGTCCCCTTTGTTCCGATGTGGAGGGTAAAACCCTCGAGAAGCTAAAGGATGTTACTTGTCTAGGAGTATAGCCGGCCTCACTCTTTTGAATTTTTCTTTGTTCTTTTTTTTGTTGAGCTCAGTTTCATTCTTATTCCTCGTTTTATGTCTTTCTTTCACACCGTGATTTTGGAGATCGAGAGCGCCCGGTGGGAGGAGAGGCATAAGGCCATTTTTCAGAAGATGGAGCGAAAGTATCGTGAATACCGTGATAAACACCGCGAGCTTTGCAGTCGGCTTTGTGGGAGCAGTAATTTTCGGGCTCTCCGAGATGAACTAAAAGAGAAGGATGACGAGTAGGTGAGGGTCATCAGAAAATGCAGCAAACTCGAGGGGGCATTGAGGGACAGAGAAGAAGAACTCGAGGTGAGCAAAGGGGTTGAGGCTTAATTCCCCGATCTTCAAGCCCAGGTGATTTCGTTGCGCCGAGCTCGAGGTGTGTCAACTCAAAGTGGACGCTCTGAGTGGTGAGGTTATTGATAAGGCGGTGGGCTTAGAGAAGGTGGAGTTGGCTCAGTTGTCGAATGCGAGAAAGGTGGAGGCTTTAACAATCGTGATCCGCATTCTTTATTCTAAGCGGGAGAGCGCTTTGGAGACGGCTAGGCCCAGGGAGGAGCGGCTTGATGAGCGGAAAGGGGAGCTAGAGAAAGAGGCCTCGAGCCTCGGTGATCGAGTTGCAGTTCTTGACGCCGAGAAGGCACAGTTGTTGGCTCAGCCATCCTCGTCTCGCACTTCTGCCTTTCCTGATGTTTTGCGGGATTTGTATGAGGAATGGATTCACGCCGAGGATCAGCTGGATATATTCAGGGATCTGATAGGGGCGGGGGGTATTTGAGAAGCCGACTTTGAGGATGCACGTGCTAAGGCACGTAAAGCTCGGTTTGCTTGTGGCTTTGACCCCGCTACACCGGAAGCTGGCGACGACGAGGAGGGTGCGAGCGTGGATCGGATCGAATGGGATGCCTAGTATGAGGATGAAGATCCCACTGGCGATGGCGGGAAGATGGGTAGAGACGGTCTGGGCGATCAAACGGGTGGCGCTGCTGGGCCAGGCGGTAATTAGTTGTTCTTTTTTTTGTTTAAGCCGCAGACGTGTATACTTTTTGTAGGCGTGCAACCTTTGTAAAAAATATTCCAAGTATGAAGTGTTAGTTTTGTTATTCGTACCTGATTCCTTTTCTTTTTTCGGATTTGTGCGATTTTCTTATTTTGTTGCTTAATTGCCTTTGTCGTAACAAACTTGTTTGAGTGGGATAAACGACGTTGAAAGTAGCATTCATTTAGTTAAGGTCGTGGGGCCGAATAGGTGTTAATTCGAAAGAGGTCGAATGAAACCTTTAATTAATTGAGGACGTGGGTCGATTAGGTTCTAATTCGAACGAGGTCGAATGTAACCTTTAATTAATTGAGGCCACGGGCCAAATAGGTGCTAATTCGAACGAGGTCGAATATAACCTTTAATTAATTGAGGTTGTGGGCCGAATGGGTGCTAATTCGAAAGAGGCCGAATGTAACCTTTAATTAATTGAGGTTGTGGGCCGAATGGGTGCTAATTCGAAAGAGGCCGAATGTAACCTTTAATTAATTGAGGTCGTGGGTCGAATAGGTGCTAATTCGAATGATGTCGAATGTAACCTTTAACTCATTGAGGTGGTGGGCCGAGTAGGTGCTAATTCGAACAAGGTCGAATGTAACCTTTAACTCATTGAGGTGGTGGGCCGAGTAGGTGCTAATTCGAACAAGGTCGAATGTAACCTTTAATTAATTGAGGTCGTGAGCCGAATATGTGCTAATTCGAACGAGATCGAGTGTAACCTTTACTTGAGGAGGGCGGAAATAAACTTCATGTACTTGTGCTTTATTCATATTCTTGGAGAGACTTACATATTTTTCGGGCGTTGGCTGGTAGATCAGTCTCGGTCCCCGTCTACCTAGTCCCTTCATTGGTCGAGCTGGAAAAGTAGAGAGAAGTCGAGCAATGAACTGGTCATCCGGTGTCTTCGTTAGTGTGCACTTCAATCCTGAAGTATCCCCCTCGTCGCCTCGTTAAAAACCTCCTCGAGAAAACCCAATTGAGGCAAAACTCGAATGAGGGAAAAAAAGTGCGACTTTGGGGACCTCGTTCTTTAAAAGTTGAAGTGCTTAAGGTGTGTAATGTTCCAGTTGTTTGGTAGTCGCTTTCCTTCCATTATTTTCAATGTGAATGACCCTTTGCATGTTGCTGCCGTGATTTTGTAGGGGTCGTCCCAGTTTGTTCCTAGTTTGCCTTCCCGTGGATTTTTGCTTGCTGGTGTATTAGCTTTAAGCACGTAGTCTCCGACTTTAAGTGGCCTAATCTTTGCCCTCTTGTTATAGTAGCGTTCTGCTTGTTGCTTTTGGGCGACCATTCTTATGTAGGCCATATCTCTTCGTTCCCCAACTTCGTCGAGTTCCTGCCTTCTACTGTCATCGTTCCGGTGTCCACTTTTGCAGAAGTATCTAAGACTAGGCTCTCCGACCTCGACTGGTATTACTGCATCAGTCTCATAGACTAACGAGTATGGTGTTTCTCCCGTGCTCGTTTTAGGCGTTGTTCGGTAGGCCTAGAGTACTTATGGTAATATCTCCAGCCACAGTCTCTTGGCGTCTTCAAGCTTCTTCTTCATGATATTCAGTATTGACTTATTGGAGGACTCCGCTTGCCCATTACTAGCGGGGTGGTAAGGCATTGACAGTATTCTTTTGATGTGCCATTTTTCAAAAAAGTCGACGACCTTCTTTCCTACAAATTGAGGTCTGTTGTCGCAGCTGATTTCTTTGGGGAAACCGAAATCGCATATGATGTTCTTCTATATGAAGGCGATTACTTCCTGTTCGCGTATTTGGGCGAATGCTCCTGCTTCCACCTATTTAGAGAAATAATCAGTTAAAACCAAGAGAAATCGTACGTTACCTCGTCCGGCCGGGAGGGGGGCCACGATATCCATTCCCTATTTGTTGAATGGCCAAGGAGAAGTTACTGAGTGTAGGTGTTCGCCTGCGTGGTGGATTGTTGGGGCGTACTTCTGGCATTGCTCACATTTTTTCACGAAATCTGCTGCCTCATTTTTCATAGTGGCCAATAGTATCCTTCTCGTATGAGGCACCTGACCAAAGCTCGAGTGCCAGAGTGAGCTCCACAGTGGCTTTCGTGCACTTCTTCAAGAACGCACCGCATCTGGTTTGGGCCCAAGTATTTCGCCAAGGGGACGTCGTATGTCCTTTTTGTACAGATCGTTGTGAACGATGTTGTACCTAGCCGCTTGCATTCGCAACTTCTTGGCCTATTATTTTATCATTGGGGAGTATGCCGTCCTGCAAATATGTAAAGATATGGTTACGCCAGTCCCAAGTTAGGTCTATAGTTCTTACCTCGATTTGGTTTATCGACGAGTTGAGGAGGTGGACCACATTTTGGTCTCCGATTGTGATATTTTTGGTGGCTGTTGCTAATTTGGCCAGGCCGTCCACCTCGATATTCCATGCTCGAGAAATCTGGTCGAGTTGACATTCGTCGAACTCGGGTAGTAGTTTGCAGATCTCGGTCTGGTATTTTTGTAACCTTTGCTCTTTGATTTGGAAAGTCCCTATGACATGGTTGACCACTAACTGAGAATCGCAGTGCAGCCTTAGCCGCTTTGCCTCGTATTTGAGTGCTAGTCTTAGTCCTGCAATTACAGCCTCATACTCGGCCTCGTTGTTAGTCCTGTCCGGGCACCTTATGGACTGGTGAATCACTTCGCCTGTTTGGACTTCGAGTACGAGTCCATATCCGAACCCCATTGCGTTAGATGCACAGTCGGTGTATAAAACCCAGAGGTCGTGTATTTGGGAAGAAGCGTGGACATCTTCCTTTTCAACTTCGGGCAGTATGTGCGCACTGAAGTCAGCGACAAAGTCGGTGAGGACCTGAGACTTTATTGTCGTTCGCGGTCGATATGTAATATCGTGTTCGCTTAGTTCGATGGCCCATTTGGCCAACCTTCCCGAGAGTTCGGGTTTGTGTAAAATGCTTCTTAAGAGGAAAGTCGTGACAACCGAGATGGGGTGGCATTGGAAATACGGTCTAAGCTTCTGTGAAGCTACGACTAAGGCCAGTATCAGTATTTCAAGATGGGGTACCTTGTCTCGGCGTCGACTAGTGTCTTGCTAATGTAATAGATGGGAGATTGCGTACCTTTATTTTCTTGAACTAAGACTGCGCTCACAGCTACTTCGGACACTACGAGATAGATGAGGAGAGGTTGTCCTGGTTCCGATTTTAAGAGCAACGGTGGCGAGGACAGGTACACCTTTAACTCCTTCAGTGCTTAGACGCACTCAAAGATCCATTGGAGGTCGTTCTCCTTTTTTAGTATACCGAAGAACTTGTGGCACCTATCGGAGGATCACAAGATGAACCTTGATATAACGGTGATACGGCCGGTTAGCTTCTGGACTTGCTTTTTGGTGGTCAAGTGATCTGGTATACCCTCGATGGCCTTGATTTGGTCGGGATTGACCTCGATACCCCGCTGCGACACTAGGAAACCCAAGAATTTTCCTGAGGCCACGCCGAATGCACATTTCTCGGGGTTCAGTTTCATGCCGTATTGCCTGAGTATGCCAAATGCTTCTCTTAAGTGGTCTATTTGATCTTCTTTTCTTTTGTACTTGACCAGCATGTCGTCGATGTATACCTCCATCGTTGTTCCGAGTTGTTCTTTGAACATCTTCGTTACCAACCTTTGGTAAGTTGCCCCCGCATTTTTCAATCCGAAAGGCATGACCTTGTAGCAGTACGTCCCCTGGTGGGTGATAAAGTTGGTTTTTTCCTGGTCCTTCTCCGCCATAAGGATTTGGTTGTAGCCCGAGTAGGAGTCCAAGAAACATAGAATTTTGTGCCCGGCTATCGCGCCAATGAGCTGGTCGATGTGGGGTGATGGAAACGAATCCTTGGGGCAAGGTGTGTTCAGGCCGGTGAAGTCTACACACATCCGCCACTTACCATTCTTCTTTTTCACCATGACTACGTTGGCGATCTATTGGGGGTACTTTAACTCCCTGATGGAACCGTTTTCCAATAATTATTCCACTTCTTCGTGCACTACGTCATTGATTGCGGAATTGAACTTACGTCGAACCTGCCTCACCAGGGGGTATAGTGGAGCGACGTTTAATTTATGTGTGGTGATCTCCTTTGGGATACCTGGCATATCTGCATGGCTAAAAGCAAACAAGTCTGAGTTAGCAATTAAGAATTCACGAAACTTAATCGGTTTTTAAAGTTTGCAGCTGATGTAAGCTTTCTTGCTGTGGTCGTTGCCGTCTAATTGGACGGGGTCGAGGTCCTCTATGTTCAATCTTGTGGCCTCGACCATATCGGGGTCTCTGATGACGTCCTCGTTGTCATCGCCTATCGACCTCGACCCTGTTGATTGATATGCCTCTTTCTTTATTTATTGGGTGGCCGTGCAGTCTAGGGCGATGTGGTAGCACTCTTTAGATGTGCGTTGTTCCCCGCGTATGCTGAATATGTCCCATGGAGTTGGGAATTTTATGACCCGGTACAAACTGGAGGGTATAGCTTTTATTGTGTGTATCCATGGTCGCCCTATTATGGCGTTGAATGGCGTGTTCTGGTCCATGATGTGGAATGTGGTCTCCAGAGTGATGCAACCCGCTAGGACGGGGAGTGTGATCTCGCCAGATGTTCGTCCAACTGCATTGTTAAAGCCTGTTAGTGTGATACAGTGTGGTACTATCTTGTCCTCGAGTTTCATTTGTGTGAGTACTCGAGGATGGATAATACACGTGCCGCTCCCATCATCTACCATAATTCGTCTCACATCGGTATCTAAAATTCGTAAAGTAATAACAAGAGCGTCATGGTTAGGGAATGACAAACCATTGGTATCTGACTTATCGAAGATGATACTTTCTTCGAGTTCATCATTCTATTCATGGGTGATCGACCGTTTGAGCTTGTGGGTCGCGGTGAACCTCACGTTGTTGATGGAAGCATCGTCTCCAACGCCGATGACGATGTGGATGGTGCGGGCTATCGAAGGCGGCTTTGGCAGCCCTTGATGCTCGCGTCCCCTGGAAAAGTTGGTCATTCCCCGATCGCTTAGTAATTCTTTGAGGTCCATGTCATAGCATATTTACGACCTTCTGTCTTAGGGTGATGCTTGATGGAACTCGCAGAGGGCGTCTGATTTTTGTGTATTCAGGTCCGACCTCATCTTTTGCGGCCACTTAACCTTTGGTCCGAGCTTCTCCAAGGCGTAGCCGATCTCTGTAGGTGACACGTAAAAATTGTGAGTGGATAGTAAATGGGGCATACCTCTTTCATTCCGGTGAGTCCCTGTTCTTGATCGGGGTATGCCTTCCTCATGGAGAGGTGAGGATACAACGGTAGTTCTGACATATGGGAGATGTCGTTCCCGGTTTGGCCGTGAGGCCACTGGATCTCTTCTTATATCACTCATTCGATATTTTTTTACCTTAGTTCTGCTTGTACTAAGGTCAGTCGATGAGTCAGTCCGTTGAGGTCGTCTTCGTCTGCTCAAACTTCGGCACAGTATGCATTATGTATTTCGTCCCAAGTTGTTGGGGGGTACTTCATAAGTCGACTTAATAATTTTCTTGTCGCTCTTGAACCATTTCTATTCAGCCCGTTTTGAAAAGCGGCTACCGCCTTTCCTTCTGACACATTGGGCAAAGTCATTCTTACTCGTTTGAAACGGGCGAGAAAGTCCCTCAGTCCTTCTCTCGGGGACTGTTTGATAGCAAAAATATCATTCATTACTGCCTCGGCCTTCTTGGCCCTGGCATGGGCCGTCACAAACTTATCGGCCATTTTCTCGAAGGTTTCGATGGAACGAGCTAGTAGTTGCGAGTACCGGGTTAATTCCCCTCCCGTGAGGGTTTCGCCGAATTTCTTCAGTAGAATGGAGGATAGTTGTTCTTTGGCGAGGTTATTGCCTTTCACAGCGGTGACGTAGTAGATTACATGATCCTCGGGGTCGGTCATGCCATTGTATATCTTCAGGTAAGGCGGCATTTTGAAAGTCTTCAGTATGGTGTGCGTGGCAGCACTATCACTATACGGCTGCTCGACGAACCGACCGACATCTCTCTTCGGCAATAACTTAGGAGCGCCTGGTATTTTATCAACCCTTTCTTGGTGTTTTATTATTTGATCCTGAAGTGCCTTGTTCTCGTTTTCTATTTCCTCCATCCTTTTTAGAATGGTTGTGAGAGCATCATCGCCTGCATTGTTAATAACATTGTGAGTGATACATGCCGTCGCGGGGGGGGGGGGGGGGGGGGGGGGGAGGATGATCATGTTGCTCGTTTATTGGTGGTGCAGCACAGGTTCTCGCATTTGCTGCGGCCGCGTCCTGAATGGGTTTATGGAGGGCGTTGGTCAATGTATCAGTCAGCCAGGCCTCAAGGAGTTTCTTCATCGCTGGCGGCGTCTCCTCTCCCACGGATGTAGAGGCTGTCTTGCCGAGGGGATTTGTGATGCTGCAGAGGGGAGGGGTGATCCACCTCGTCTAGGGGAGGCATTGGGCGTTGTGTCCTCGTCCACTGCTTCGAAGCTTTCGTGGATGATGTCCATGAGGTTGGTTGGGAGGTCACTCATTATTCTCATTCGTTCTTCTTTGTTACCTTCCATGTTAGATCTGTGCATACAGAGAGAAAGAAGGTTCTTCTTTTCGTTTTCTCTTCTTTCTTTTTTTACGTCATCAACTAGTGCCGGCAGTAGATCTAGAAGAAACTAAGTGATTTAGTTAGAAAATCCCCACCGACGGCGCCTATTTGTTTGACAAAAAAATATAATCCCCGGTTTAAACTATTAAATTTACTTGATACGGGGCTAAATCTAACTAAGGACAATAATTCTATATATTTTAACAAAAACGTATAGCAGATGTGACAGATTCTGTGTATGATTGGTGACAATAAATATGAAAATACTCTCAAAGCAAAAATATTAAGGATGATATAACTAACAATAATTCAATAAATAGCATTTAAGTAAATAAATAGAATGATTCATCCAATAATGAATGGGTGGAGCGAATATTTTGCCTGACAATAATGAATGATAGATAAATCCAAGATTCGCATGAACAATCCTCAGATATGATGGAAAGGTCGGGAATAATATGAACAAGAATATTTGTGAAAAGGTAATCTTGATGTCTTTTTGAGAGAGAAAGTATTCTTCTCAAAAGTGTTCTTATCAGAATGAATATTATATGTCACTATCATTGTCTCTTCTTTTTATATATATGGGGTATTTTTCCTTGAAAACCCTAGTAGTACAAATGCAGGAAATATCCACTAGAATATTCCCTTGTAGTACCCTATCTTGACAAATTAGCCGTTGCGAGTCTCTTCATCAATAGTCGATCTCGACCCTTGTTGACATCTTGACTGCGATTTCCGTCGATATCTTGACCACGACTCATGTCGGCACCTCGGCCATTGACCTCGCTACATCTTGGGCGAGCTCGACCGATAACTTTCTTTAATGCCATATCACACTAAATATTTTGAAGACAGATTTTGGCTTATACAAGCGCGTCTAATAAACTCCTATTAGGGGGTGCGTGTCAAAAAGATTTGACTTGAAGCTTCCACGAGAAATTATGATTTCAACAAGTACCCATGCTACAATAAAAAGTTTTGGTGTATGAAGCATTCTACATTTATCCAGATTCAAAGAAGGGTCGCACATCTACCGGTCTTATGTAAATAATTTACCCTAATACAAGCACTAGTGGTTACTTTCACGGCTCGAAATTGTCCCTTATGTTGAGTGAATCTTCAGCAACATAATGATTCGAAAGATATTGTGTATCATGCTATTTGACCGATCAAACCCGGTCAATGAAAATTACTGTTGAACCGGTTAACTGGACTGGACCGGCCCGGTTGAGAAAAATAGTGACCGGATGGTCACCAATCCCGTCCGGTTACCGAGTTTTTAAAATCGGACTTAACGGGTTCGGGCACATTCGGTGAAAAATTGAACCGGAACGGTTCTGGACCTAAGGAGCCGGTCCGGCCCGGCCCACCCCTTTGTCACCTTTAAGATTGTAGAAACAAGTGTGATAATTAAAAAAAAAATTAAAAATAGTCGTTGAACCGGGTCGGGCCGGTTAACCGGTTCAATAATAATTTTTAGTGACCGGATTTGACTGGTCCGATTAACCGGTAAGAAAATATATACGGACGAACCCCCCAAACCCAGCCCTACCCGGCCCCCTTCCACCGGTCCGGGACGGTCCGGTTTACTACCGGTCTAGGCCGGTCCGAAATCGGGTCAACCCGGCCCGTTAAATAGGTCTAGGTTCATTATATCGGTTCTGTAAAATTTGAGTACCGAAAGTTTTTTTACCCAGTTGTTAGTTTTTAGATCTCCTTTGGGTCTTTTGTTAAATGGACTAAACCTGGTCAAGTTTAGCAAACTTAAAGGACAATAAGTGCTCGGGACAACAGATAAAGGACAAAGTTAAACTTACCCAAACATACGGAAAATTTTGGCTAAAAATTCAAATAGCATGATACACAATATCTTTCGATTCATTACTTTGCTAAAGATTCACTCAAGCTGACTTTGGCATGATGACTGTAAGACGAGGTAAACAGTTTCTGATTCCGAAAAATTATACCTTTCGTACTGTTGGAAAGTATTGAATCGAAATTCAATAAATTTACTGTAATGAAACTTTAACTCTTTATGAGATAAAGTCTATATTTCGAAATGTTCGTAACTTTCGAATTGAATTATATTTAAGACTTCTGTGATCATGTGACTTTGTACTCAGAAAAATGTTGTAACAAGGGAGAGCCTGCCACTGTTTAGTTTGAGGACGTATCAATAATTGTAAACTTCCACAAAATTATTGGAATACGAAGGGCTCCTTCCCAATATAACTCTTTCAAAGAAATTTACAGCAAGCGCATTTGATTGGTTTTAATTTTAATGTCATAAATATCTTCAAAAATAATTACATTCAGCACCCGTTTACATAATCCACAAAACAAAAAATTAACAAATCCAATGCCACAAATTTACATCCACATTTTATTCATTTTGCTTCATTTCTCCCTTCTATTATATTTCAAATTATTTTTGTCTAATATGTACCAAAAACTCCAGCTATACAATGACCAAAAAAAAAAATATCAACCACATTCCACTTCTTATTCTCAAAATATCCTTGGATCCTTACCCGACCCATTTCACTTTATCAATTAGTCCGACCCAATTTGACTTCACCATAATGTCAATGTCAAGTGTCAACGTCAAATCTGATCAGCTACGCAAAGGTGCACGTTAGTGCTGATTCAAATTATCCCACAAAGATGCGCACTTCCTCCTGGCAAATCCAACTCTCTTCTTTTCCAAATCATAAACAACTTCAAACCCTTGTTGCTGATAATTTCCTAATAACCCAGCGGGCCCACTTTCCTCTTCAACACCACCGTTCATCAGCATCACACACCCCACTTTCCTTTTCAACTTCCCATCATCTCCACCGTCCAAAAATTCATAAAAGTAATTCCTCTTAGGCATCACCACACTGGAATTTCCCCCAAAATGTAAAAGCAGCTGCGGCACATTTGAAGAACCCTTATCCAAATAGTAACACGGGCTAAGTCCGGTCCGTTCCTCAACCGGGTACACTCTCTTATAAACCGGTCCAACTTGTTTATCAAATTCAGTTACCACTGTTTCATAAAACACATGCGGCAACATAGTAAAAGTCATTCCGGAATCTTCATTTTTCCGATAGTCACTGCTTCAAGTCCGACGCAGTAAAAATACGGGTGTTTTGGATTTTCGAGCATAGGAGTATAAGCATAACCAATTTCGTAATCTTTCATTTGCTTCATTTTTTCATCAACTGAGTAACGACCGAGGATAAGCGGACTCGGTTTATGAACTTTTGTAGTATCAAAAGAATGAGAAACTAAACAATAAGAGAAAAAATTTCCGATTTCGGGTGAGTTGATAGCGAGTTGAGCCGGCAAAGAAAGTTTCCCACGGCCAAAACCGGCTACTCCAATAGGTTCACCAAGTGCACTGTGAGCACAGCCGAACGTAAAATTATGCAAAATTAGCGACGACGGCGATGACGTGGGTATTGATAATTTATCGCTATATAATTTCGCTATAAAACTGCCGTCGCCATAAGCATAGTAAAAAGGTGGACACGTGTAAGATTTACAATCGGAAATTTCAATGTCTTCGAGCGGGCATTTCGCCATAGCGCAGAGGTTAGAGGAAGACATAGAAGAGTGAACGGCGGAGCAGGAGCGTGACTTGCACGTGACGGGGACAGCAGAGGTGAGGTTGAGTGGGCCAGGGTTAGGAATAATGGAAGGGTTATACTTGCCTTCACAGAGGATACAATCAAAAGGGTGACAAGGGAGCCAAACGACGTCGCTGCCAGTATCCATGTAGAGGGAAATAGTTTGAGAGCCAAGAGAAAAGGAGAGTGTGTAATCACTTCCCGGAGTGAGAGGGAGGGAAACTTGACGGTGGTGGTGGAGGCGAGTGGCGGAGCGAGCGGAGGTGGATTTGAGGAGATGGTGAGTACTGTTGTATTGGGTTTTTGAGAAAGAATGTGTTAAAGGGAAAACTAACGTTTCTGCGTAGGAGGAGAGAAGGAAGAGTGAGAAGAAAGTGAAAAGAGTGAAGAAAACAGAGGAAGAAGCCATTTGGGGAAACAGAGCAAGACTGAGGTTCAGAAACAGAGTATTCTGACTATCTGATAAATTGATATACAGCTGAAACACTATTTCGATACCTTATCTTTTATGTACACAGAGAGAGAAAGAGAGAACTAAAGTGGATGATTTTTGTTTGTATAAAATGAGAGGAAGAAAAGAGAGGTATATATAAAGGGGGTGGTAGAGGAGAAGAGGAGGAAGGTTCTAGTGGGGAAAGCCGAAGGGAGGTTTGGTGAGGAGGTGAGGATTTAGGAGAGGTTTACGGGATATACTACCATCACTTTAATTGTCTGCACATCAAAAGAAGGGCCATATATAAAGCCGAAGTCTTTAGCCATTTAGTTTCCATCTAGCCTTCTGTTTGAATTGAAACACTAATTTTGTGATCATTTTAAGAAGAAGAAGAAAAAGAATTAGGGATCGTTTGGTTGCATCACATAAAATAATACATACTTTAACTTTTGGTATTACTAATTTCTTATTTGATATACTTTTTTAACCTATATATTCTTAATGCAAGTATTAGTTATTCAATCTATTTGGTATTACTAATCCATTTTTTCGGTATACTTTTTTAGCATATGTATTCTTAATGCAAGTATTAGTTATTCAATCTATTTGCTATTATCCGATGTATAACTAATAAATAGCAAAATATGGTATTAGCAATACAATGCTATTAATACATGCATTAGCATGGTTAAAGACAAAATTATTCTTAAAGTCCCTTAAAGCTAAAGAATAAGGAGGGGAATTTTGTAAACAACTAATTTTCTTAAAAACCATGCAATGCGTTTTAATTTTTACGGAAAAGGGTCAAAACTGCCCTAAGACTATACGATTTGGTACAAATATGCCCTCCATCCACCTATTGAGCCAAAAATACCCCCATCGTTATCTTTCTGGCTCACTTATGCCCCTACGACTAATGGTCAATGCCAAATAAAAAAGGTTTAGTTAAATTACACGTGACAACTTTTTATTGGTCTAATTTTAAACCATGACCCCAATTAAATAAATTCACCCTTAACCCATTTTTTTACCAATCCAAAAATCCGACTCGCCTTAAAAAATAGCCAAACTCTTGATTGCCAAAAAAATTAATTTTTTCATCTTTTCAATTCTACCACCATCAGAGTTGTCACCATCCCCTTTCCTCCATATCAACCACGTTGCCACCACATTTTTAGTCTAGGGAAAATTTTGGTCCCTTTCCATATTTTCATCTTCTTCTTCATTTTATATTTACCACTTGTCCTATCATTTTTCAAAAATGTTCATCATAAGACTCTAATTTTCACATTCAAATGTCACTTACAATGGTAAATCTTTTTTTCTTTCTCATCACATAAGATAATCAAAGAACCCATTATGAATTCATGAGCTTTAAATTCCGGAATCCTGTTTTTTCTTCATAATTTTTGTAAATTTTGCAAACTCTTAATAAGTTGTTAGACCCCAATGGTAATTTATTGTTAAAAATAAAAATTTTATGAACTAGGTACTCCTCCTTGAATAAAATCCTAATTTTACAACAATGAGATATCAAATCGAAACTAATCGGACCCTTTCGTTTAGCATAATATTCTCGTTGTTATTGTTCGAAAATGGAGGAATGGAGAAAACATGAGAACCATGGGATTAGTGGCAGCGTGGCGTTATGGAGAAAAAGGGGTGGTAGCAACTATGGTGACGGTAGAGTTGAAAAGATGGAGAAGTTAAATTTTTTAACAATCAAGAGTTTTGTTATTTTTTTTAGGTGTCGGATTTTGGGGTTGGGTAAAAAAAAAAGGGTTAAGGGTAGATTTATTTAGTTGGGGTCATAGTTTAAAATTGGACCAATAAAAATTTGTCACGTGTAATTTAAATAATTATTTTTTATTTGGCATTGACCGTTAGTCACAGGGGCATAAGTGAGCCAGAAAGATAACGGTAGGGACATATTTGACTCAATAGAAGGACGGAGGGCATATTTGTACCAAATCGAATAGTGTGAGGGTAATTTTGATCATTTTTCGTAATTTTTAATACACCACACCAAACCGTGGATAAGAAATAATCTATGCATAACTACTGCTTGCATTACTAACACATACATTACTAATCCCTACATTATTCAACATTATTCAACACTATTCGTTTATACACCCTACCAACACCTTATTCCACACTATTCTTATATATCCTACCAAACGACCCTTTAGTGTTCTAGTCAACTTGCGCCTAATTTAATTATTCTTAGTTTAGGTAGATGAAAAAAATACCTACTCCTTTCGTTTCAATTTAGATGACACACATTCCTTATTAGTCCATTCAAAAAAGAATGACACATTTCTATATTTAGAAATAATTTAACTTTAAACTTTTTATTTTATCCTTAATGAGAAGTTTTTATAGGCACACAAATATTATGGCCTCACAAAGTTTTGCCCCTTAAGTTTTTAGGACCACATATTTCAAAATTCTTCTTTTCTTAAACTTTGTGTCAAGTTAAACTACATCATCTAAATTAAAACAAATAGAGTAATATTTTTTGTCTTTATTGCAATTTTGAATATTAGTCTTTAAGGTTAAGGGCAAGCTTACTTGAAAAGCTTCTTATATTTTACCATCGAAGTGGATATCCTTTTTCTTAAAAATTAATCTATGTGTTTACACTAAAAGTTAGAGCTCATTTGGCCAAATACTAAAATAATTATTTCAGCAATAGTAGTTTGATCATGAGGTTTGGGTTGCAAGTGAGAAATCAAAATAATGATTTAATTGTACCTATCAAACGAATTCTTTAAAATCTTCAATTTTACAAACTTTTTCTCAATTTGAACTTCAGATGTTGTTTTAATCGTCAATTTTACAAACTTTTTCTCAACTTGAACTTGAGATGTTATTTTTGTAACTTCAACTCAAATACTTTCCAACCGCATAGAAATATTTTGACAATTGTATTTCAAATTCTACCATGATTTCTCAGTACGAAGGACGAGTAAAATGTTGGGAAAAAGTACATACAGTAATATTATGCAATCCTTGCAAAAAAGCAAGGGACAAGTGAATCAATATCTACCTGCAAGAAACGCACATTCAGAGGATGGGTAAAGAACTTGAAACTTGGAAGTGACTCCACCTAGCGTAATCGGAATCAGAATTTCAAGTTTATTGATTCTGAACTTTCATTCAATATAGCATATTTTAGTTACTGAATTTACAATTAAATGTTTATATATATTTAATAATTTTTTTGATACAAATCTAAGTCTAAGTAAAAATAAAGCTACTTAATTCATCCGAGTGCATATTGAAGATCTAGCTCCGTCATGCACCCGAGTAAGCGTTTGGACATAAAAATTATATTTTTTGAAAAAAGTAGTATTTGGAGTTAAGTTGAAAAATGGTATTGAAAATTTAAAATTATGTTTGGACATTTATTTCATTTGAAAAAAATGTTGCAACTTCGTGAGTGAGGAAAAAAAATGAAAATTTTAATTTTTGAAAAACTTATTTTCGAAAAATTTCTAAAAACTTGTAAAATTTCAAGGACAAACACATTTTTGTAAATAAAAAATTTAAAAAAAGAAAATAAATTTAGGACAAACGGTGCCTAAGTCGACTTTGAGGGGTTTGGTATGGTAATAAGTCTTTGTGTGCTTTCAAAAGAGGGGACGGGCGTTGCGTGTGGAATGGTGTCGTAGTCATTTTGTGTCATTATGTGGAAGGAAAAGACATGAGAGTAATGGAGATTATAGGTTTTCCACTTGATTCTACTCCTTTCTTTGCAAACATTTTATGTAATGTTGGCATGTACGTGGTCAGAATATTATATTATTACTCTCTATTCGTCTCATTTTTTGTTGTATTATTTGATTATGTATGGAGTTCAATGCATTTCGTTAGACACCAATATATTTTATGTCTAATAATTTGAATGGTCTTGAGTTCTTTGAATCTTGTGTAAATCGTTATTTTGTATAACACAGTTTACGTTATCTCAAACTATAATTGCTTTTATATGAATTGGGAAGAGCGAGTAATTTGTTCTGCATATTAATTAATATTGAACTTAATTTATTTTTTGTGGTGACATATTAAGTTTTGTTTTCTGAAATGAAACTAATTAACTAAAAGTTATAGAGAAGTATAATGACACTTTTTTTGAATTTTAAGAAAAAAATCTGATATTTATCAACGTGGGTCAATTTTGTTTTCAAGTGAAACATCACATTCAATAGAGAGTGAACAAAGTAACATATTTTGAAAAATATACGTTTTCAAAGACTTGTATTGAATCGGAAATGGAGGCAAAGTTGTCGAAGAAAGTTATACACAATTTCAAAAACTCTTCTTTGTTTTTTGTATTTTTTCCTTGAATTAATTACTGTAAATCTTTGGCTCCTTTCAACTTCGATTTCACTACCCTTTTAATTTTCTTGTAGTATCTTGCAGGACGAGCTTGCATTGTATTATTTGGTGTATATACCGGAACTGATAACATTCGAGATTATGTAGGATTATACACCAAACATCCTGTTTTAGCTCTCTCTTCAGCCCTATGTTAATGGAATCCTTGATTGCTAGTGTTTAGAGGAAGGCGTTGTCACCTTAGTTTTTTGCTACTAATTTGGATACCAGCTGCGTAAGATTCATTAAAGAGGAATATCTTTGCCATAATTTTTCGTATTTACATAATTCAAACCTGAAACCTCTAATAATCTAGGAGTGATAACTGTGTTAAGCCATAGATATTGAGTCGTTCTAATTACTGATTTTAAGGTGAAACTATTCCAAAATTAAAATCTTCTACAGTCAGTTAATGAACGAGAGGCATTAGAGATATTGTATTACGATTTCAATGGTTTTGAATAACATGAACAAATTTTGAAACACTACGGGATTCACTTATCTTTTCTTCTTTAATTTTACAATGTTAACACGAAAACATGAAAAACTAAACTAAAATTAGCATAAACAAGGAGATAATTGTATACGAATTCGTGACATTGCAGATCAAACTGTGCTTTACTATTGTAGTTTTCAAACATTTTTTAAAAATACTTTTCTTTAGCCGAGGGTCTATCAAAAATAGTCTTCCCACCTCACACAAGGTAGAAGTAAGGTCTGCGTATACTAAATCCTCCTTAGACCCCACTTGTAAAATTACATCGAGTATGTTGTTGTTGTTGCAGATTATTTACCCTTAAAAATGGATAACAATTGAATTTATACACGGTTATAAGGATATGTGGACTAATTCAATACAAGTAATCAATAATGTTGAATAAACGAATTGAAGACAGAATAAATAATCAAACCAGTAGTGATGTTAGATCCGAGCTCGGGTCTGAACTTAG